ATGCCCCGACCCTACATTTACCACCAAGCTCTCGCTGCCGCTGCCGCTGCCGCACCGCCTCAAGCATCCCTCCACCTCGTCCGCAAACGGCCCCAATTCCACCCCCAGCTCTGCGCCCGCATCGCGCACAAACAGCCCACGCATCCGCGCCATGTCCGACCAGCCCGCTGCCGGCCTGGTGTTGAGGGCCAATGTCATCAAGGTGCGCCCGCCGTCCTCGCCGCCCTCGCCGCCCCTTTCGTCGCCTGCCAGCTAACGTCGACACAGGGCAGGAATCTCGCTGCAAAAGATCGGAGTGGCACGTCTGACCCGGTGAGTGCGCCCGCCGCCTTGCTTGCTTGCTTGATTGCTTGCTTGCCTGTTTGCCCGCCCGCCCGCCCGCCTGCCTGCCTGCTTGTCTAACCTGCGCCCCTCCCCACACAGTATCTCGTCCTCACGCTCGGCGACACCAAAGTCACCACGCCCGCCATCAACAAGCAGCTCAACCCAGAATGGAACGAGACGCTCGAGCTGCCCATTGTTGGCGACCAGAGCCTGCTGCTCGAGGTCGTCTGCTGGGACAAGGACCGCTTCGGCAAGGACTACATGGGCGAGTTTGACGTCATACTCGAAGACCAGTTCCAGAACGGCCTCACCCACCAGGAGCCCCAGTGGATCCCGCTGCAGGCGCGCCGCTCGGGCAAGAAGAAGTCGGTCGTCTCGGGCGAGATCCAGATCCAGTTTTCGCTCATCGACCCCCTCAACCTCGCCGCCACCCCCGAGCAGATTCTGCAAAAGTTCCTGGCCATTGCCGGCCAGACGCCCAGCCCCGACGAGGACGACGACGAATTGCTCATGCGCGGCGACAGCAACGGCACCGACGCCGAAGACGACGACGACGACGACTCGAGCTCAGACGAGGCCCACGACGAGTCCAAAAAGGCCGAGAAGCGCGAGAAGCGGCGCAAGAAGCTCAAGCTGGCTCGCATGAAGCGAAAGGTAAAGGGCCACACGGTCTACGAATACTCCAACAGCAGCGATGTCGCCGGTGTGCTCTTCCTCGAGATCCAGCGATGTTCCGACCTGCCGCCAGAGCGCAATGGTGAGTTCTCTTTGCTTCGCTCTTCCCCCTCCCTCTCTTCGCAAAGGCTGACGCATTGACAGTCACTCGCACCACATTCGACATGGATCCCTTTGTCGTGACGTCGCTCGGAAAGAAGACGTACCGCACCAAAACCATCAGACACGACCTCAACCCCGTGTTCGAAGAGAAGCTCGTCTTCCAGGTCCTGCGCCACGAGACCAACTACTCGGTCAACTTTACCGTCATGGACAAGGACAAGTTTTCAGGAAACGACTACGTTGGCACCGTCAACTTTCCCCTTGAAAAGGCCGTTTCCACAGCGCCCCAAGAAGACCCGGAGACGGGGCTCTACAAGCTCCTCGAGCCATCAGATTCGCCGGGCATCTCGCCGTCCGACGGTGGTTCCAAGAAGTCTCGCTTCCGCCTGCCACTCTCCCGCTCGGGGTCTACTCACAGCCTTTCACGCTTGGGTCGGCCCTCGCTGAAGAAGGAGAGCTCGATTGGCTCGCTCTCTGCGCAAGATGCGGCTGGAAATGCCTCTTCTTCTCCCTCCCCGGCTGTCACACTGAGCGCCACAACCGACTCAAACGGCAACCTCACCCCGGGCAGCACCATAAATCTTCAACCATCTGCTGTAGACGACGAGGATTTGAAGCTGTATACACTTCCCCTGGAGCTGAAGCACCAAGAGCGCTGGGAGAACAAGCACAACCCGACTCTTTACATTCGTGCCAAGTACCTCCCTTACAAGGCGCTGAGGCAGCAGTTTTGGCGAGCCATGCTCAAGCAGTACGACGCCGATGAGAGCGGCTTGCTTGACAAGGTGGAGCTGACCACCATGCTCGACACGCTTGGCTCTACGCTACACGAGTCCACCATTGACAGCTTCTTTGAGCGCTTTGCTGATCGGCACAACGGAGACCACCTTCTTACGTTTGACGAAGCTGTCATTTGTCTCGAGGACCAGCTGCAGGCCACCGAAGCGAAGAATGCCAAGAGAAACGGGTCTTTTGCATCGGGCACCCCTACACCCCAAACTTCTGGAATGCTCACTCCCATCAACCAGGACAGCTCCACGACTTCCATCCCAGCGCTCGAGACGGCCACACTGGGCAAGGAAGGCGAAGAGGGAGCCGACATTCAGATTGACGACTTGGCGGATGACAAGGGTGAGGAGCACGTTATCGAGATTCGTGAATGTCCCATCTGCCACCAGCCCAAGCTCAACAAGCGATCGGATGCCAACATCATCACCCACATTGCCACGTGTGCAAGCCAGGACTGGAGACAGGTCAACAACATTGTCATGGCCGGGTTTGTCACTTCAAGCCAGGCGCAGCGGAAGTGGTACTCCAAGGTCATCACCAAGATTTCGTACGGTGGCTACAAACTGGGCGCAAACTCGGCCAACATCCTTGTCCAGGATCGCCTTACGGGCCAGATCAACGAAGAGCGTATGAGCGTCTACGTCCGCCTGGGCATTCGCCTGCTCTACAAGGGCCTCAAGGCGAACAACATGGAAAAGAAGCGAAGTAGGTTGCGACATGGCCCTCGGACAATCAGCATGCTAACGAGTAAACAGTTCGCAAACTGCTCAAGTCGCTGAGTTTCAAGCAGGGAAGGAAATACGACGACCCCGCGTCAGCCTCAGAAATTGTGCCTTTTATCAACTTCCACCAGCTCGACATGTCGGAGGTGCTGTTGCCCACGGATCAATTCAAGAACTTTAACGAGTTCTTCTACCGAGCGTTGAAGCCAGGCGCGCGTCCATGCTCTGCGCCCGATGACCCAAGGGTCATCGTATCGCCGTCCGACTGCCGAAGCGTTGTCTTCAATACCATTGACGCAGCACAGGCCATCTGGGTCAAGGGTCGCGACTTTACCCTTGAGCGCCTGCTTGGCGACGCTTATCCGGAAGACGTAAAGCGCTACCATGGAGGCTCACTCGGCATATTCCGACTGGCGCCCCAAGACTACCATCGGTTCCACATCCCTGTCGATGGAGTCTTGGACGAGCCCAAGACGATTGAGGGCGAATACTACACAGTAAACCCAATGGCGATCCGCTCGGCTCTGGACGTGTACGGCGAAAACGTCCGCGTGCTGGTGCCCATCGACTCTGTCGCCCACGGCCGTGTCATGATTGTTTGCGTAGGTGCCATGATGGTCGGCAGCACCGTCATTACGCGCAAGAAGGGCGAGCAGGTCAAGCGTGGCGAAGAACTGGGCTATTTCAAGTTTGGCGGCAGCACTCTGCTGCTCCTCTTCGAGCCTGGCCAAATGCGATACGACGAGGACCTTGTTGACAACTCCAACTCTGCTCTCGAAACTCTGGTAAGCAACTCATCCATGTCTGCATTGCGCTGCTTCTGCTAACACTGCTCCAGGTCCGTGTTGGCATGTCTATCGGCCACAGCCCTAACCGGCCAGCCCATGTCCCTGACATGCGCAAAGCCAATCCCACCCATGAAGAGAAGCAGGATGCCAAGCGCCGTATCGAAGGCAGCTTAGCACCTGCCGGCGTCAAGGGACCCATGCCTGGCGCTGGAATGTAGAATTAATAGACGCTGTCGAAAAGGCACAGAAACCCAAAATCGGAAAATCGGACGGGCTGGGGGGTAATCAATACTGTTGTCGCGGTGCACCTGGAGTAATGAGGTAATGATGGGACATGATGAGAGCATACGGATTAGCGGCATGGGTCAGTCGCTTTTTCTTGGGCGTTTGGGTGCGTTTGATGGGCAACAGGCGGATAGGGAGCGCAAAAGCTGTGTGTACTGTTTGTTATGTGCTGAGCCAAGTCTGTACCCTTATAGATATATACATACACATATACATATATATACTTACATCTTCATACAGTAATACACATGTCTATGCCACTGTCATTCCGTGCATGCGTGTGCGTGTGCTTGTGCTCGTGCTCGTGCTGACGCGCTGTAGGGAGCGCTAGCGACAGGTCACGTGTCGACGCTAGTCCTGAAATCATTGTTTTGATGATGCTGCCGGCAGGTGCACACACCAACTTCCTTGCTCCCGTGTGACGACCGTTCCCCTCCACACCTAGGGATATTCGCATTACCGCCTAATCATTACACGCACCATCGCACGCTTGCCTACACCACGAGCATCCTTTGCATCGCACGCGAATCGCCTTCACTTGCGCCCCGACTTTAGCTGACGATAGCTCGCTCGCCTGCTATCGCGCCCATGCACGCGCTTTGACCGAAGACCAACACTCCGAACCCCGTGACGCAGAAACTGGACTCATGACTACTATCTTCGCGCGCTCCCCGCTCCAATCCCTCCCCATGGCCACAAACCGACCGACGACGCGACGAAGGAGCGCAAAGCAAGCTTTCGACGACGATGATGCGCCGCCTGTGCAAAAGCGACCAAGGACGGAAGTGAATGGGACGACCAAGAAGGCGGCTTCTGCACCCAAGAGGACAGCCAAGGCTGCTGCCTACGACGAGGACGACGACGGCTTCCAGTTCTCGCGCCGCACCTCGCGGAGGACCACCAAAGCACCTCCGGCCCCGGAGCCAGCGCCCGTACCCGTGGAGAAGCCCGCGAAGCTTGCGCGAATCGCTGACGCGCAACCTACCGCATCCACCTCGCGACGGAAGAAGCAGTCGATTGCAGCACTCGACCCGGAATCATCAGACTCGGGGAAGCGGCGGAGATCGGCACGCATATCTGGCGACAGGGAGCAGCTAGAAGTGCGCCCAAAAATCAAGGAGCCTCCTCTTCCGGCGACCAAGTCGCGCACAAAAAAGACAGCACCACCAGAAAAGGAAAAAAAGAAGCAGACGACACCAGCTCCCGAAGCCCAGCCCAAAGAGGACGCGTACACAGGCGTGCGAACGCCAACACACAATAAGCTGCATGCTGAGAAGAAGAGTGACCCAAATGCGCAAAGAATCACACTCCCTTTTGCGGATACACCCGTCATTGCACGAAACAAGGAAATGCGCAAAGGCAACAAAGATGGACACAGGCGGAGCAGCACAGGTTTGCGGGGGAGAAGAGCAAGCTTTCTGATTGATAGCGGTCAGTCGAATGGTGAGTCTGGACAGATTGCGATGGCGGTTTATGCATGCACAACGAGTGCATTGGGCAGCGCATCTGAGGAGCAGCATACTAACAACAGTGCAGCGCTACCCCATTCCGAAGTCGAAGTTCGAGAGTTTTACAAGTACATTGAGCAAAGCCTACCGGAGCCGCGGCGAATGAGGCAGCTTCTGACATGGTGTGGGTCGCGGGCACTACCACCGAAACCGTCAGGCGACGTTAAGAATGCGAATGCGATCATGGCTGGTATGTGGGACAAAAATCGAGATTGGGGTACAAGGCTGACTGAATCCCAGCACGGGCGATACAACAAGAGCTCCTGGACGATTTCGCTGGCAAATCCGATTTGTCCGACTGGTACAGCAGAGTAGGTGCATTGATTGGCTACGCGATGAGCTCGCATTGACAAGTGTACAGACAGAGACTGCGCTGCCACCTGTGGTGAAAAAACCGAATCCACAAAACGAGAAAAACAAAGCAACACTGCAGGAGCTGGAAGCAGAGATTAAGCTGTACGTCCGAAGCCCCACGTGAATACTGAAGCTTTGGAGACTGACTTGGAATAGCCTCGAAGAGGAAAAAGACGCCTGGGCAGCGATAGCGTCAACATCCAAAGCCATGCCGCCGCCCACAGCCCCCTCAATACCCACATCACCACCCTCGCTATCCGACATTGACATTTCACTGCTCGACCCGGATCAAGCCGCCATAGTTTCAACTCTACAATCATCACAGCCACAGACAGATACAGTACCGCCGTCTTCAGCATTCACCTTTAGATCGCCGGCAACATTACAAACACATCTCGAGATGCTTGCCAGCTCGCTAGAACCCCACATTGATGTCTTTGCCGACGGCGTCCACAAGATTGAGCAGTATCGGCAGACGGCGGAGCGAGTGGCAGACCGAGTGCTAGGCACTGCGGCCAAGCGGTTAGAAGAAAGAGATCGAGAGGCAAAGGAGCGGGTAGGAACCCAGGGAATTGGTGTGGGAGATATATTGAGAGGATTAGCGGGTGTGCTGGGAGATGAATAAAAAAAATGAATCACGCCGTGTCCTTGAGGGAACACGGCATTACTCGTTTTAGCGGCTCATTGTATGAGAATGACATGTATGCGGAGTATTTTTTTTGTTTACTTTGTACTTTTCAAATACATGGGGCGACTTGACAGCATAGCATCCCACCACGGTGGTTTGGAGGCATTGCAGATTGCGAAGAATTACAATATGCAAAGAAAAGATGAATATACCCTTTTTGAATCCTTTCCTCATGTAGAAAGAATTACGTTGGTTGCAACATGTTCTTAAACGACTCGTTTGAGTGGAATTATTCTATTCCATAACCAGTTACGAGAGTAGAATTCCATCTTAGGGCAGCTGACTATATAGCGCAGTAATATACACCATGGAATCACATATCCGAACTATTGCACTCGATTTCTTGAATATCATGAGCATCATCTGACAAACCAACTGCTGGCTAGTCAGCACGATACCCGGCTTATCTGCCAAGCTTATGTCGAAAATGTTAATAGTCTTCAACCTAGACATGCGTACCATATATATCGCGTATATTTCCAGGCCCAGTGCATCTTTCATCTCTTGCTCTTGCGTAGCAACCCGCATTAGACGACTAGCTCCTAACACACCATATGGCCAATCGACCAATTCCATCTTCTAGTTGCAACGCGAAACCCATGGTAACACGCAGAAATAGCAGGCGTTGCTCGAGATAGCGCAGGACATGTATATCCGTCTCAACAAGCTGCTGCGCTGTGCGACCAAGAAGTTGACACCACGCGGTGTCGGCGAGAATGAGTTTGCCCGTACTAATCTGGCCTGTTTCGTCCACTATGGGACCCAGCTTGATACTCATCATTAGCTGTCCTGTTACGTTTGGACGTGTGAAAAAAACAAGCGGGAAAGAGTTGGACAACATACAATTCTAGGATTGATGCGTAATGTTACTATGTTCCCACACTGTCTGCACTGCATCGTCACCTGATTGGAGAAGAGGGGAATCCCGCAGCATTCTGTGCTGAGGAGCATGTTGCGTTTGAATGGGGAGACGATGTTGAGATTTGTCATGATGACACTGAGGTATCCAGCGATTGTTTCTCTCGAGTTTGAAATGGAGAGCGAGCGAGCGACACTGTCGATATCGGCAAGGGTGTAGAGTGCTTTTACGCTTGCTGCTTCAAAATCTGCCACTTGTGTATGAGGAATGGAAAATGGAGGGTTGACATGCTCCTTTTTGGTTAGTCGCTGTGCTAATGCTCGTAGCAACCTGGCGTCACCCATGTCTGGGTCAATATCTACGCGGGAATTGCTCGTGATTGTGAGTTTAGCGGTTTTGTCGATGCGCCAGCCAGGGTTGGAAATGAGGAGCACGGTCTGCGAGGGTACAAAGAGAGAGGCTGAGTCACACATGGTGGAGTAGAGGGTTAGGACAGCCTCGGAAGTGTCATCGAAGATGCCGAGAGAGACGAGTTCGGATGTCGTACCATTGCGGTTCATGTCTGGTGGATTTAGTATACAGTCAACCAGTTATTCAGTCTAGAATGCGAGGGGCAATGGTTATGCATACATTTCTTCCTCGCTCCGATACTCTTGACGCAGACGAGAAGCTTGGGCTCGTCAATATCGTAGCCACCATCAGTGAAGCTCTTCAGCGTCATCAGCCCGGTCAAAACCTTGCTCTCTCTCACTCGGTACGGCCTCTTGAATCTCGTTCCATCATCGCTGTTTTCGTGCAACATGAAATGGCAGTGTCTCTCGCTCTCGGGAAATATGCTGGTAAACAGCGGTGCACTGTTAGGGGCTAGTGAATTGTACTCGGAAGAGCTGGAAATATGCACCGTCCAGACGCTGACGAGCTGGCCGAGCTTGAGTTTGTAGCGGGCTTCAGCGTACCAGAGACGTACGGTAAGCACTCCGGTATCGTCTGAGAGCGTGACCTTGATGCATCCCTGTGCTGCTTTGTGTGACTTGCTAGGTTTGGCTTGATCGTTGAAATTGACTATGCGACCCATCAGGCTGAGATGGCGTGGTCCGGGCTCGAGAGAGCCTAGTTCGGCTTCTTCGTATTCAACTGTGGGCTTTAGGGTGTTAGCAGCGAGTTTGAAGGTGAGGGTGAGGTGGCATGCCATCCAGGCACTGGGTGCACTGGCTCCAGTCGGGGCAAGAGCTGACTGCATCTCTCCTCTGGTGAATCCATCACTGTTCTTGGTTGACGAAGGAGCAAAGTAGGACTGAATTGATGATGAGGCTGGCATGTTTGCGTAACGTGCTAGGGCGGATGGAGGTGGTGAGGAGAGTTGGATGGGCGGCCGGAGCGCGCCTTCCTTCCCTCTTGCATATACTCTAGCTGCTTACGATGCACAAAAGCAGTACCAAAAACAGGACTGCAGCATCTCGCTGCTAATGGATACATCACCAAAGATGAGATTGCAGAAACACATTTTATATTGCTTTAAAGAGAGTAAAGAGTTGGCCAAACAAAGTCGCAAACACATCTGGCCACGATCCCGCCAAGTCACGTGGTCAAGCAGCTTGTGTACATCAGAGGAGACGCAGACCCACTAAGGCCACTAGAAGAGCTTGTGCTCAAGCGTCATGTCGTTCTCTGGCTCAAGACCAACGCAGGCGCGGAAGATGTTGGTGAGAGCGGCACGCTGCTTGGCAAGGGCGTTGACGACTGGGGTGCCAGGAGGTGTCAGAGGAGCCTGTACAAGTCAGTCAATGTGTCAATACAGGAGGCGCCTACTTGACATACCTTGAGCATGTAGCTGAGGACACTGAGGACGCTGTGGAAGTTGTTGAACTTTGTGTCGCTGCCATTGCTGCTCTGGGCCCTCCACTGCACACGGGTCATCATCTCAGCGACGAGCACGAGGTCAATGATCAGAGGCGAGGCCAGAAGCGAATCCTCACAAACGTTGAACAGGCTGATAGTCTGGTGGCCGTCAAGGAAGATCTCGGCGTAGTACTCGTCCAGAGCACGCTTGTCGTCGCCAACAGCAGGCATGTACTTGATGACAACGCAGTGGTCAGGGTGCTCGCCCTCCTTGTACAGGACGTTGTTGGCAGCGACCATGTCGTCGACAACATTGGACTTTGAGATTTCCTTGGAACGGAACTGCTTCTGAGAGCTGAGGTTCATGCCGTCGTTGTTGCCAAGATGGTTGTACGAAGCAATCGAGGTGAGCTTGATACCGGCGCTGATCATAAAGTCAACCAGAGCAGACTTCATCTTGGTCTGGCCAGACTTGAAGTCATCACCGCCAATGAAGGCGTTGTGCTTCTCAGCGAGCTGGATGGCACCAGGAACGAAGGTGTTCTGGGGAGAGCCGTTGATAAAGGGGACACCCTCGAGAATGCAGGCAACAGCAAAGACGGTCGAGGGAGCAACCTCGTCGTGGCCGGACTCGATAGCCTTGAGCAGATTGTCGGCAGTGTCATTGACACCCTCGATGATATCGGCATAGCGCTCCGTGTTGGCAGTCCACTGCACAATGACCTTGTCGAGACCATTGGCAGCCTTGAAGTCACGGATGTCCTTGCGGATCTGGTTGACATGGGCCATGGAAGCCTTGGTACCGTCGAGGACATTGTCGGCACGCTCCTCTTGGTTGGCGGCGATGAAGTCTGGATAGTAGATGCTGGGAAGAGGCTTCATGGCGCTCATCTCCTTGCGGACCAGAGACTTGAGAGAGGGCGACAGGACCTTGGCGCGGTCCATGGCATCGGCCAGGTTCATGCCACTAATGTCCCATCCGCCAAGCACAAGGTCGTTTGGATGCACCATGGGCAGGAGATGGTGGAAGGGAATGTGGATCTCCTGGCCCGTCTTGCTGTCGACGCCAAGCTTGGTCGTGGAGCCCATGATGACGGAACCGTAGTAGTTGGCGGCACGCTTACCCTCCTTGGTCTCCCAGACCAGGTTGCGCTTGTTGGCAATGATGCCGGCCGTGACGGTGGTGCCGTTGTTGCCGCCCCAGCCGACCAGCATCACGCCCGTCTTGGGGACTTTGCGGTCAACCTTGAAGTCGTAGAGGGTTTCCTTGGGAACGGCAACATAGCGGCCGTCTTGGTTCTTGGTGACGGCCGTGGTGCGGTACGTGTACTTTGTCGTGATGGTGTCGTCGGTGTAGTTGACATTGGGGGAATCGACGACAAACGGAGCCTGGGGGGCGGTGTCTACAGCAGACCCATTCGCGTGGCCGACGCTTTCTTCAGCGTGTGGTGCCATGGTGATTCAAGTTGCGAGTTGGTTTGGACAAGTTAGTTGCGGAAGTCGAGATCCGACGCTGCCCCAGAGGGAGAAGTGCGTCGGCCGGCGAATGGGTTGTGGATCCTGCGGGGTGTGGTTAGTGAAGGCAGTCCCCACGGGGTTGTGGGAGGGGTACTTACGAGCTGAGGAGATTGGAAAACGTCTTGACGGCTGGGCAATGGCCCGGGTGAAGTGGTGGTGAGTGTGTGATGGGGGGGGGGTGGAGAGGGACGGCAAGCGTGGCCAGGCAGGCGGCTGCGGAGTGCAATCAGAAGAAGGTGGTGGTGGTGGTGTTGTGTTGGGATGGGGAAGCAAGGGCTTTGGGGCGCCATGTCGTAGCCATATAAATGTCTGCCGTGCCGCGGCTGACTTATCACGCAGCCATGGGCGCAAACGCAGCCGCGTGCAGCCGGACAGCGTGTTCACCCACCGCCTCTTTGACGTGCCGTCTAGTCTCTCCACTTTTCATACTGGCGACTATTGCGGTAGCCGTTTTGAGGAGGGTCGACACCAATGGATGGCTTGCACGAGTCTTGTGCCATGGCCAGGCTGCGGCGCTACGAGGGGCGCTGGATGGCGATGCGGGCGAGAGGCGGCTGTTGTTGCATGTGCTATACTATACGTACATGTAGTGTGCGTGTGCGTGTAATGGTGTGTACCTGTAGGCAGGGTTGCAGATGAAGGCCCATGGGGCGGCATGCCACAAAGGGCAAAGGCACACGACACCTACGTAAGTTCTTGCACTTGGTGCCTGTGCCTAGACTTGGACTGAGGCTGTTCAGCCCCGCCATCACGTGACGGTGGCTGTGGCGCTGCACGTGACGGGTCACGTGGGCGGGTGGGCAGCGAACGGCTGTCTTGGTATGGATGGTGCATGTGCATGTGCATGTGCATGTGCATGTAGGCCGGGCATGTCCTCGGTGTCAGTATGGCCTACATGCAGTGGACCAGGGCAAAGGCATAGCAGGCGGCTTCCTGAGCCACACGGCGTTTCACGGGCAGCGTCTTGGCCGCTGTGGTCAGGATCAAAAGCGCACACGAAACGCCGTGGGCGTCAAACACTGCGTGCCGGGCACACGACACGGAAATTGTCGTCAGACGTGCAGCAGGTGCGATAGCAGAGGGCGTGCAGTCATAACGTCTGTGACTGTCGTGGGGACAGCCGGACGACAGGGACGCAAGAGTGAGGGCAAAGGAACTGGGTGTGCTAGCAGGCATGCAGTCAATCAACAATAAAGACGATGGTGATGGCATCTCAGTAGTGTAGGTCGAGCGTGTACATGCACATGGTCGCTGGTAGGTGTAGTATCGAGGTGAAGGGGTGCGGGCCCGTGCAGCCAGCCAATCGCGCGCAGCACGGCCCAATGCGGCAGGCGGTCAGGGGGGCAGATGCGCGATACAGTCAGTCGACGCGCGGGACATGGGCGCAACCGCAGCAGCAGCAGAATGCGAATCACAATGCGACGCAGCAGCAGCAGCAGCACCACCACCACCACCACCTCCAGCAGCAGCACCAGCATCACCCACGCCTCTCCATCCAGCCTGCATCCCTTTTGTTTTTCCGCCACTTTTGTTTGCGCGGGTTTCGAAACGGCGAGTCCAAGGCCACGGCCATCGCGCGCGTGTCATGGCCCAGAGTCTATTCGCGTCGTCTTGTCGTCGGGGAGACAGCGTTGCGGTAGCACCACGCCGACAGCGGCATTCACCTGCATCTCGTCCACGCCGCGCCTTTTACCACGGCCTAGTCGCACACCCACAGCGGCTTTGGCGCAACGTCGATCGGCCGAGTGCCAGGCGGGCGATGGCAATGCCAATGCCAATGCCATGTCGGTGTCGGTGTCAGTCACAAGCGGGCCCCTGGCGGTTCCCTCGTGCAGGGACCGGATGCGAACAGCGAGCGCGAGCCTGCTCTCTCCCAGCACATACATGTAGACACACACACACACACACACACACACATGGACTGTACCCTCGTCGCCTTCGGCCGGTTCTATTCTCGAGCACCACCCACATGCCCGCCGACTCCTGCCACGACGCCGGCCCGCCCGCCCTCGCAGCTCGCATGCCGCCGCCCCAGACGCGCACAAACATGCACAAACACACACCGGCTGCCTGGCCATCCAGCAACAAGTCTGAGGGCGAGGGCGAGGGCGAGGGCCCGCAGGTTTCATGGCATCATGGCAGCCCTCGGCGGCTGGAACGGCCAGAAAGCGCACGCACACGATTCAGCCTGTGCACGCACGCCCGCCCGCCCGCCAAAGCAAATAATGCCCGCCGAATCACCTCGCCCGCCGTCGACGGTGACGGCACACGCCAACCACGCCCACGCCCTCGCCGCCTCTCGACTCGCTCAACCGTCGCCGTGTGTGGTGGTTGCATTTGATTAGCCTCGCGACGCCCACTCCAACACTGCGCGTGTCCATTGCCGTGGCCGCGCCTTGCGTGCATGCCGACGCGCTAAGCTCGTCTCCCGCTGCCATTGCCATGCTCACCTGCCTCGACCCTCGCTCCCTCACCTCACCTCACCTCCCTAGGCCCCTTCCGAGCAATGCCCGCATGCTGCCCCTGATTCAGCATGCATGGTCCACACACCGTTTCCGAAGATCAAACAGCCCTGTGTGTCCACCGTCGTCGTCGTCACGCGTCTGGCTCTGTCCTCCAGCACATTGTCTGCAGTCCTCGGCTGCTCTCTCCCCCTCGCTCTCTCTCCGTTTCTCTCCTTCTTACTCGCACACACATACTCTCCCTCTCGCGCGCCCTCCCTCGCCCCATGCTACTACCCAAAGGCCGTCCACACACTCCAGCTGTCCTGATATCGCCGCTCCGCGCGAGCTCTGCATGCCACCATGGACCGCATGAGCTCGCTGCCCACCATCAAATGCTCGTCATGTGCCGTCGACATTGACATCCTGCATCTGGCCGACCATGTCTGCAAAACCGCCCCCGCGCCCGGTGAGTATACTGTCCGTCTTCGTCGTGCTGCCCTAACCTCATCAACCCTAGCCATGCCCGTCCCAGAGCCCATGTCGCCTACCTCGACCACCATGACAGACTCCCCGCCTTCTACAATCTCTCCCAAATTCACCCGCGCAGCAACATTCCAGGGTCCCACATTCATTAGTCGCTCCAACCAACCAGCCCCGTCGGGTCGCATGCCTCCCCCACCGCGTATCGATGCCAATGCAGCGAGTAAGCTCCTCTAGCCCTGCACCTGACTCTGCATACATGCTGTGCAAACATGGACGCTGATTTTTCCAGACAAGCCGTTCCGCCCATTGGATCCATCGCCTATCAACAACTACAACCACGCTCCCGCTCGCTCGCCAGGACCCGCCCCACCCGTCAATTCTCCCTTCAAGATGACCCGTAGTGTGACCACCCCGGCAGCCCACTCAAAGGCCCCTCCGTCGCCAGACTACAATGCCAACCTGGACTCTGCTTTCCCGCCGTTTCGCTCCACGACCGTGACTCCCAAGAGTGCCAGGTTCCAACCACGAGAACGCCTGGAGCCCCACCCAGATTACGCCCAACCAAGCCCCTTATTTGCCCCACTGAGTCCACGCTTTGATGGTGGAGAGAACATTGCGAGGCGCATCAACACCATCGCACCAGGACCCTTTGACGGCAAGACTGACTCAAGGCCAAGTAGAACAAGCACATCGAGGCTGGCTGCCGATGCACCTGCGCCGGGACACCAGAGGAATCGCACCCAGGGAAGCGTTGCGAGCATTGCGAGTCTCTCGCAACAGCGGTCGTCTGTCACTTCAAACACATCGCGCACTTCTGCAAACTCCAACCGCAGCCTTGGCCTCCCCTCTCACCCGAAGCTTGGCGTCCAGCCCCGACCACCACGCCCATTGACTCCAGACCCCACAGAGGGTATCGACGCCTTCCTGGACCGCTTGCAGAGGGAATCCTCACAGACTGCCCGCTCGACAAAGGAAAACACGGCAACGGAACCACTGCGGAAGAACAGCAAAGGGAGAGAGCCCCCGCCACGGCCGAGGAGGCCCTCTGAAAAAGATTTACCCCCAGCGGATATGATCGATCTAGACGCGCCAGACTTGATGCCTCCGCCCGGCTTGTTTCCTTCGCGTGGCTCAAGCCGTAGTGGCTCTGAGAGCGACGTGCCGCGCGGTCTTGCCCCGTCTCGCTCCCTACGTCCTCCGCCTCTGGCTGCCTCTGCCCTTGGTGACGGGCAGTCGACTGGCCTTCATACGCCTTCCGATTCTGGCTTTTCGGATGATTCCTATGGCAGCTCCGGTGTCCGAAGCATAGCCAGTTCGAGGTCAAGCCCGCCGGAATCGGAAGCTGCACACTCGCGCCAAGCTTCCAAGATTAGCCGCCCAGATTATGCGGCAGACGAGACTATTAGGACCAGTGCGAGCCCGGAGCCTTATGCTGAAGATGGGCGTGCTCGGGCACCCAGGACCTACATGCGCCCTGACGGTGCAGAGCCGTACCCGCCGCGATCCCTGTCTCCAAATCCTCGCCAGCCTACGTTTCCACCCAGTCCATATGTCAATCACCCAGAATCTCCCATGGACCCGGCCATACAGATGGGCGCACGAACCCCAATGTCGGCGAGAGGGCCCATGAGTCGGAATGCAACGCAAGCCAGTCGAAGCCCGCCCAGGAACATGGCTGAACCCGAGCCACAGCAGCTAGATGGACGTCAGCCCAAGGCGGCCAGCAAAGGCAACTGCCGCGGGTGCTCGGAGCCTATTATTGGCAAGTCGGTCAAAGACTCGTCGGGTCGCCTTACCGGGCGCTACCACAAGCACTGCTTTGTGTGCCGAGAATGTGCCGTCCCCTTCCCTACGGCCGAGTTCTACGTGTTTGAGAACGCGCCTTACTGCGAACAACACTACCACAAGCTCAACGGATCACTATGCAACGCCTGCCGCCGTGGCATTGAAGGCCAATACCTTGAAACAGACATGCGCCAGAAGTTCCATCCGAGGTGCTTTGCGTGCAGCACGTGCCGCCTCATCCTACGCGACGGCTATTTCGAGGTTGCTGGCCGAAGATACTGTGAGCGACATGCCCAAGCCGCCGCCGCTCCACCCAGAAACCATCTCGGACCAGGAAACTACCGGCCGCGAAACCTTCAGAAACGTGGAACGAGACTGATGATGATGGCGTGAGCTACGTTTTCCTTGCACTTTCCTGTTCAATCTTCCTTTTCCTTTGTCACGTCACTGCATGAATATCCAGCTTCTTCGTTCCTTGTAGACGTGCGGCGAGTCCGCTTCTGTACCATATCTTCTGCCCTATACCCCTTACTCGATACATTCTTTACTTGTTGTAATCACCTTTTTGTACCAGTAGCAGCCGACGCGCGTGCGGACTCTTTTGTACTTGGTTTGGTGATGATTGGATATACCCCGCCCCCGCCCCTTGTTTTCTCTATTTTAGTTTATTTTTCTTCTTCTTTGCACACGTAGTTTGTGGTCTCTGGAAGACTGGCCTTGGTGTTTGGTTACGAGGTCTGAATGCCGCGCCCACGCCTGTGGTGTACCTAATGTTTATTGCTCGTCATTGTGGGCTGATGGATAGCATGCCATGTGTGGGGGGGGGAGGTTGGTGGCGATATGCTCGGTTCAAGGACAGGGAGGGGGTTACTTGGTCGAATATATCAAGAATGTTGTGTACAGTAGACGTCGTCGCGAACGTGACTCTTGGCAAGCCTAATTTTGAAGTGACCCAGGGGGGGGGGGACTCGAATGCGACAGAACAGCGTGGCCTCTAGGGCGCTTGGTGTGGCAGACGGGCAAAGATTCAGGGACGGAGCCGCCTACGGCTAGCGCGCGCACGGGCAATTTCCCCCAGCGACACGTTGCGAAAGTGAAAGCGACGGTACAAACCGCCTCCTCCCCCTCTTCCCTTCCATCCCCAGGCCGACAGCAATCTCTCTCTCCCTTCCATTTGTCCTGGTCTTTTTGTTTCTTGTCTCTGGGCCATAGATCGCAATCATGAGCGGCCGTAAGTCGACTTGTCCGCCCGCAATGGGCCCGCGGAGCCTGCGCGCACGCGGTCGCACCGGGCCACCGACAGCTAACTCACACACGCAGTACGGTTCCTCGATCTCGTCAAGCCCTTTGTGCCTCTCGTCCCCGAGATTCAGCTGCCCGAGAGCAAGGTGCCGTTCAACAACCGCCTGGTATGGACTGGTCTCACGCTGCTCGTCTTCCTCGTCATGAGCCAGATGCCCCTCTACGGCATCGTGTCGTCCGACACGTCGGATCCGCTCTACTGGCTGCGCATGATGATGGCGAGTAACCGAGGCACGCTGATGGAGCTGGGCATCACGCCCATCATCACGTCGGGCATGGTGTTCCAGCTGCTGGCCGGCACGCACTTGATTGACGTCAACCTCGACCTCAAGTCGGACCGCGAGCTCTACCAGACGGCCCAGAAGCTCCTCGCAATCCTCCTGTCGTTTGGCCAGGCCGTCGTCTATGTCATTTCGGGACTCTACGGACAGCCCTCTGACCTGGGTGCTGGCATCTGCGTCCTGCTTGTCATCCAGCTGATGATTGCTGGCCTGATTGTCATTCTGCTCGACGAGCTCCTCCAGAAGGGCTACGGCCTCGGCAGTGGCATCTCGCTCTTCATTGCCACCAACATTTGCGAGTCCATCATGTGGAAGGCCTTTTCCCCCACGACCATCAACACTGGCCGTGGCCCCGAGTTTGAGGGTGCTCTCATTGCCCTCGTTCACTTGCTCTTCACCTGGCCCAACAAGACGGTTGCCCTCAAGGAGGCTTTCTATCGCCAGAACCTCCCCAACGTCATGAACCTGATCGCCACCGTCGTCGTCTTCGGTGCCGTCATCTACCTGCAGGGGTTCCGCGTCGAGATTCCCGTCAAGTCTGCCCGCCAGCGTGGTGTCCGCGGCTCCTACCCCGTCCGCCTGTTCTACACGTCCAACATGCCCATCATGCTACAGTCGGCTCTGTCGTCCAATGTCTTCTTGATCAGCCAAATGCTCTACAGCCGCTTCTCTGACAACCTTCTTGTCAAGCTTCTCGGCGTTTGGGAGCCCAAGGAGGGCTCCGCCCAGCTTTTCGCCACTTCTGGTATCGCTTACTACATGTACGTTCGCCACAAAGCCGATTTGACCATTTTTCACTGACAGGCACAGGTCTCCCCCTCTGAGCATCACCGAGGCTCTCTCTGACCCCCTCAAGACGGCCATCTTCATTGTATACATGCTCGTCGCTTGCGCCGTCTTCTCCAAGACGTGGATCGAGGTCTCGGGTTCCTCTCCTCGCGACGTTGCCAAGCAGCTCAAGGAGCAGGGTCTGGTCATGGCTGGTCACCGTGAGGAGTCCATGTACAAGGAGCTTAAGCGTGTCATTCCCACTGCGGCTGCTTTTGGCGGTGCATGCATTGGAGCTCTGTCTGTTGGTAGCGACCTCCTCGGCGCTCTTGGCAGCGGTACTGGTATTCTTCTGGCCGTCACCATCATCTATGGATACTTTGAAATCGCCGCCAAGGAAGGCGACATGTCTGGTCTCAAGGGCATGGTTATGGGCTAGGTTGGCTCATTTGGGAATTCGATTCTGTTGTCTTGGAAGGACGAAATGTAGGGGTTGAGTGCTTTTGCAGCACGTTGTAACATATGATTTAAGAAACAAAAAAGTCTGCGAAGGAATCACGGCGTTTACGCATTGGAACGTGACATGGCTAGGTCAAGAGGGCAGTCCTTCTGTAATGTATCATTGTTAACCTCAAGGAATGCATTTTATCAGATGTAGGCAGGATAGCTAAGGGTGTGCTCGCTATTGCCGTAGTAGAGGACATGCTTGGCTTTGGGCCTGCGTCATTGCTTGTGACTGTGGAGATATGGCCGCAATAGGAGTGTGGGTGATGCAAGACATGGCGTCTGTGCAGAATAGACTTTGCATGGGTAATAGATACGCGAGTGCGATGCCCTGGACATGCTACGGATGGATGGGGCATTGGCTTTGTCACTGAATACGATTCATACTGCTGTGAATGCATTCACCGGACTGAATGGTCCTGTTCCCAGCACTAGACTGTACTGTCCTTTGCTCTCATCCTCCCTCTTTGACTGGAAACGACACAACCCATTGTTTCTTTAACTCCCAAGTATAGAGTTACTTTATCACTCATGGCGGACCAACACTGATTAGATCACCTACAGTTGGAAACAACCATGTAATAACTGCTTGGACGCACAGTTACCTTGAAAATTGATGAATAAAATATGTAGAGTTTGGATACACGTCATCAACAGAGATAGATACCACGCGGCCCAAGAGTACTTTGCAGATGTAGTGAAAATTCGTCCTCTTTGTCCTTGGCTGGTCGCCAGAAATCTTGGCAAAACCAATTTATGTTGTGCCATATGGCTTGTAGAGGTAGTGGATATATTCTCTGCAACGAAGCACTCTATCTAACCAGGGCTGGCGGATCGAGTGGGTTGTGGCGCAGCAATTGAAGTCAGCTCTGGCATACTCGGAATAGGATCCAATTGCCACTGCCGGACGAGTCAGCCACGATACGCCTTGTCCATGTTGAGCAAGACCGAGCAAGCTGCTTTAAGGGACGGATTGACCGCGAGGAACAGCTCCGAAGTGATGCTATTTTGGACACATATGCTCGTCCATATCTGCACCAGACATCCCACACTTCCCAACACCGGCGTCGTGACGTGGAGGTTTGGACAGTCGAGGTTCAGTCACGGGTTGTAGCGTCTAACATGGCCCAGTCTTCAGTTGCATTTTACAGGGTGAAACCGGGGAAATGAAGCTCTCCGATGGTACCGTTGCGCGCCCAGGCAAGGATGGAAGACAGAAACCCGCTCTGATTGTCTTTTGCCATGGTAGCCTTGATCTTGACGGGATTGACCATTTAGCGAACAGTCTTGTTGCAGAGATTGTACATCTACATGTGGGTGATTTTGTCAACCTCGAAGACACCATCTTGACAGTCTTTCGAACCATATAACAAGCAATTTTTGCAAAATACATACCAAAATCCAAGACGTGTATCTCCTCATTGTCAATTATACGTACGACTTAAGATACGCCACACTTGGATGAGCTACTAGAGCAGTTGTGGAAGAAGCATCGTTATTAAGCGGCCAAGCTGGAATGGGGCCAGGGCTCTGGGAATATCCTAGAAGTATGGGGATTCACTTGGAATTATAGCCATCAAGATGTTGTTGGCGTTGGAGAATTGCTATTGTTACAGGACATTGTGCTCAGAAATCGTCGCGTACAGCCATGTCGGACGCTGAGACTCGACCAGGACTCTCCGGGCGACATAAAAGTCGGTTTGATCCTGCGAAACAGTATCCAAGTCTTGACCGGCCATCCAGATCTACGATTCCTCCACGTTTGTGGATGACTGAGTCGTCAGGTGCAGGAGCATGGATGCCGCGATGCAGTTCTTGTTCACAGCGCCGGTCAGCTTGGGGGCAGTAGTTTCTCTGCAGCTTTGATCCTATCGCTCCCCCATCAACGATGTCCGAATCTGAAATACAAGTAAGATTAGAACAAGTCAAATAACGTTTACAATACTCACCCTACACACAAACTGAGTCCTGGCTGGACTCGCGTGTGTACCATTCCACGATCACAACGCCAGCCGTGGGCCCTGAAAAAGTAAAAAGCATGTCCTATATTTCGACGCTACATACCTCGCCTCTGAACTCAACCATGACTACAGACCTGGGCTTCGAAGCATGCTCAAATTGTGGTGCTGTTCCCATAATCTGTGCTGATGCTTGGCTGACCATTCGCGAACCAGTCGGGATCTCGAGGGTGTTTTTGATGATGTAAACTCCAAACGCAATACACACTACAGATGCCGTTCCGGGTGTCAGTGTTGTCCGTCTTGCCGTCACCTTTGGCTCCAAGAGCTTTCACGTGGAGCACTTGGGTGGAGTCGAGGTCCAGGTACTTTGGTCGCCTTCTTGTGTAGAGATTGGGGCCAACATATGTCATGTCTGGGTGAAGGAGCATCACTGGTAGCTTGACGGTGGGGATCTTCTGGCCGTTGACAAAAGTTGATCCATCGAGCATGTTGAGAATACCGAATCCCCGAGACTCAACCTTCACTTCGTTGCCGCCAGGCAGAAGATCATTCCTTGCAGCTTCTTCGTATACCGCGGTCTTCTTGTTGAAGAACCCTACGTGAAGAAGAAGAAGGATGAGAAGAAGAAGAAGGATGAGAAGAAGAAGAAGAAGAAGAAGAAGAGACCCCACACTTTGACCTATGCTTCCGAAACTGCCAGCCTGAGTCACGTCAACATTAGCATCGGAGTGGTCTAGACACTGACGGGGTGGGCACTGACACCTCTTACGATCACAATACCTGTTTTGCATGACCCAATAACGAAATCTTGCATCGCCCATGCCCAGTCCCAGTCTACTTGCACGGCGGTTTTGCAGTTGACTAAAACCAAATGGCTTGTTGTAAATTGCATCAGTCAAAAGCGCAACATAAGCATGAATACCGCTCACCGCAAACTGCCGCCGACGAAGGTTAGGTTTCTCATGAAATCTCCACTACTGTTTTCCAAATATATGGCTTTCGCATGGCGTCAGCAATAGATGATTATAGTGATGATGTGCATCTCAAGCCTGCCAAACTACTCACATACATAGTATTCCCATCGATAGACATGTGAAACTCAATGCTCTTACAGGGAGGTACTCTGAGCAAATTACTAGTGAAATGCACATACGTACGCATCCGAGTGTGTTTGTGTGTCGTCCACCTTGACATTCTTCACACTTCGCAGGAAGTTGTTTTGATCAACATACCTAAAATGCACCAGAGTCAGAGCAACAGCGTCATGTCGGAAGCCAGATTCCCACTCACTATTCATCAGTAGGAACAGGGCCAATGTACTGGTTGGAGGTAATGACACCGAGGCCCACAAAACTAGAAGCAACCAATATAGTCGCAACATCGATTGTCCAGGAGACAACTGTTGGTCAAAATGATTTGTCGCAGGATAGTTTCTTGGGATATACGTCACCCAGTAGCTGCGTGTTGAAATACTGAATGATTGAAGTGCTGACGAGGTATGCTCGTGCGGGGAAGAAGATGACCGCTAGGTGGATAGTGCTCGAGCTACTGTTGGCACCACCTCTATTGCCATCAGAGATGGCACGATTGCTAGCAGATGATTAACAAAGGAATTGGCGTGAATGCATGATGAGATATCGGTCATAGTTTACCCTTACCCGTATCGTCGATGACTCCATCACCTGAAAAAAAACTACTTCGTATTGGCGATCATGCTATTGCAAGTTCTTGGATTCAGAGAGCTGAAAACGAACACTTTGCACCGTAGTCGCGCACGTCTCTCCAAACGAGTATTTCATCTTGTCAACACAAGACGAAAGGTGGTGGGGGCACGAATGGTTAGCCTGTAGCCCTGTGGTGCGAAGTGAATAGAGCCCAGCTGCTGCAGATTGGCCATCCAATACTTGGGCGCTCGTTTTTTCAGACCACTGGAGCCAAGAGAAATTGTCTTGTTAGAAGCAACAGGAAGTATGGATGGCATTTCCGTCATGGCAAAGGAGGCAGGTATCAGATTGATATCGTTGATTTTGAGGGCATACTTAACCTCAATCTTCGAGGCGACGTCGCTCTAGTTGCCGGTCGAAACATGTTGCGGTATTGACTCAGCGAGGATACGATCAGCTTCTACAAGCTCTGCTGGCACGCTGTAACTGTAACCACCGTCCGGGCTGGCGTCTTCACTCATGAGGCCTGTGGAATTGAGCTCTCTTTTCCTCAAAGTGCTGTTAGATGCGACGTTGACAAATCCCAATATCGAAGGAACGATGTTCTCATCTGTGGGTTTGTTCGCGCTCGGGATATCGGCTGGCAAGACTTCATAATTGTTGAGCCTCCGGTTGTCTAAGCGCAACCTATACTTAGTGGCAACAACTTTCCCCTCGCAAGCGATTTCATCCTACAATAGGCCTTCTTTATAGCAGTATATCTCTATGTTCACTAATTCAAACCTTATCTAGCAAAATTTGAAACTATATAAGATAATACTCAGATAGATATACAGTTTTTTAGAAGCTATGTAATGAACGCGTGGTTTTTAATTATCTTTATATATCTACTAGAGTTATATTATACAGAAAAGAACTTGTTACTTAAAAAAGAATTTAGAAGAAGCTTCTATAACTAGTATCAAACTTTTATTGAACTTATAGTTACTTATTTTACTTCATTACTAATAAAGAACTAAAAGGTTTTATTAGCTATTTGGCGTAAAAAGCTAAATTTTAGCGAAATAATAATAAAAAAATAAGATACTAATTAGTATTCTCTTATATAACGTCAAAGTATAGCGAGTGGCTCAGTATAGCGAGTGGCTCACAGCGCCAAGACCCCACCAACATGACGACTATTATATACCTATTACAACGCAACTACAGCAGTAATTAGAAATTATAGTAGACTATTCTATTCAGAATCTATTACTTTTACTTGCTTACATGTGCGCGTATTATGCCCTGCCTCGCCGCAGCGTCTATAGTGCCTTTGCGACGGCTCACCTACCTTAGCGCGCACTCTCTTCTTTGCCTTCTTTCTATTACTACACGCCCTAAACTCCTTTAGAACTGCTAATCGCTCTCCTTCTTTAACTATTAGAGTCCCCTCTCTTTACACTTGCTTTCTTTTATACGATCTTTGTTATGTAGCAGCTTTATTAGCTGCCTTAAGCTTAGAGACGCGTTTTTGCGCCAACACTAGCTTCTACGTGTTATGGGCGAGAGAGGCCTAACTAACGAGTATGCATTCACCTATTGTACAGAAGAAGAAAGATACAGAAAAGAACTATCTAGAGGGCCCTCCTTTTATAGTTGTTACTCGTACGAACGCTCAGACCTTTAGTCTTCCTCCTTACTT